GAGGGAAACCGTTTTCTTTTATTCTCTTTCCTGCAGCTCTTACAAACAGGTTAACGTGAAGCATGAGCCACTCCAGTTGATCCAGCCGCAGTTCGAGACGCCTCTGCCCCCGCTGCAGCCGGCTGTGAGTAACGCAGGCACCTGTGCCCTCCTCCGCTCTAGTAAGAAATCCCACGCTGTGCAAGACGGGGCATCTCACTGTGGTTCGTTTTGGGGGGGGGGGTTTTCTGCTGCTGCCGTTTGTCCAGGTCTTCCCACCAGCTTTCCGAGACCTTCCTCCGCCAGCTCTTGACCTCTTTGACCTGGACGAGACCTTCTCCTCTGAGCGAGTGCGCCTGGCGCAGCTTTCCAACAAGTGTGAGTTCAAACCGTCCCGCACTGCAGGGCCAAGCTGAAAGCAGTCCTTAGCCCTGCTCTCCTCCTGGCAAAACCTAAAATGATCTTCTCGTCGCCAGACACACTCTTGCATTGGAGTGGCGGTGGTCACTGTGAGATCAGCGGCCCAGTGACAGTATGTCCTTGCAGCATCTTGTCTCTCATTTCGCCTTCTTACTCTCCACAGGCACAGATGATGACCTGGAGTTCTACGTTCGCAAGTGTGGTGACATCCTGGGGGTGACCAGCAAACTAAACAAGGAGCAAAGAGATGCTAAGAGCATCCTGGAGCACATCTTCTTCCAGGTCGTGGAGTTTAAGAAGCTCAATCAGGTGAGCAAGGTGTAATCATCTGAAATCGAGTGAGGGGCTGATATGGTGATTAGGACTGGGATGCTACATGCCTTAGAAGTGGGGTCTAGGTTAATTTTTTAACCTTGATTTCATTCCTCCTGCAACAAGAGGATGGTATACATATTCCAATGCCTTTTGTTAATCTATCGGTGACTTACTGTAGTTATTTAATTACTTACAGCTTACATACATAAGTATGTGTATTAACAGTCATAATATATATATATGAACAATAGGTTTATTCCATGCTGAAAAGAGAAGAAAGAAAATGCAATGTTTCAGCTGTGGAGCCTTATTCGGGTGTGAATAAGCCACCCGAATAAGGCTCCACAGCTGAAACGTGTTTTCTTTCTTCTCTTTTCAGCAGGAATAGACCTATTACTTGTTTATTTGCAGCCTACACATGCTGACGCAGCTACCCACCTGAATGACCAACATATATATGACTGCTGATATGTTTTCATTAATCCACTTTATTCTGTAGTATCACAATGTGCTAATAGGTTAAAATGATATGGAATGTATATTATGTCTCAAGATAGTTCTGTTTGAAGTGATGAAAGCTACTAAATCAGAAAATTATAATAATCATGTCATTATAATAATCATATAATATACTTCAGCTGTAGTAGCCTGTATAAAAACAGTACAAACCAGAAAGGTAAGGAAAGCCACTTTACAGAATGAAACCTTTTTGAACTGTTAATTTTGCTGTTGGGCTCACTCATTCTTCATTCATGGATTGACATGGTTGTGTGAACCTGCCTATAGGAAAAAAAACACTTCTTTCAGCATCCATGGGATTGGTTACATCTGGCAAATTCTGTTCACCCTTTCCTGTTAAGTTGCAAAATGACGCTGTAAACATGTTCCAGCATTTCTCCAAATACATTACATTGCTGTTTCCTTTCATGTGGTGTTTGTGTATGTTAACTTTTGATCTATGTTCCTCATCAGAGCCTGGAATGGAATCTAATGGGAAGGCATTACATGTCAAATGTATTTGGAAATTTGGCAGCAAGCCTCAAAGCATATAATTACATGTAACTGGCATTGTCCAAGACAAATCTGGTTTTAAAAATCCACTTCAAATGAGTTTAAACAGTTTACAATACTAGCACCACCAGAGAAATTCATGGATCAGCTAGAATAACTGTCAGTTGACTGTTACTTCGTTGTCCTTGTAAAACAAAATGCGCAAAGCATAGTGATCTTTTACATTTGTATGTGTCAGTACTGTAACTAGATACATTTTAGGGTATTTTGATCAGTTCTTTAATTTTTTGTTGTGCAAATCAACAGGGTTGACTGCTTTAGGAATTGCTGTGCTCTTTATTACAAGTCTGTTGAGAAATGCGTGTTTTTCAAGGGGAATATTAACGCGGATCAACGTCTCTGTCCAAACTAAATTTGACTTTGTCGGCAGGCAGGCTGCATTTTCACTTGTTTTGTTACAGAAGACCTGACCTTGCAGGTTTTGTAAATTAAGTTGCATCCATCTGTGTACAATATACCACGGAGAGGTTTTGATTAGTTTTTAAATGAAATGCATTATTGTGTAGTTTGCATGGACATCTTTTATTGTATTTACTTTTTAATTACATATTTTGACTTATACGAGCAAAATATATTTTGTTTCTAACTGAATAATTAATCACGGTTCCTACTCTTATTACCTTGCCAATGTATTCTATTCTTAAGCATTGTAGCAAAGTTGTTTCAAATCTGAATGATCACTTTGTGGAATCAAAGATCAGAATTTGGGTTTTCAGTAGAGACTTTTCTGTGTCTAAAGATATGTTTCCTCTCACCTCCTAGGAGCACGACATTGACACAACGGAGGCAGGAATTTCTCCATTCTAAGCAAACTGTGTCCCAGCTACATTTGCTCATCTGGGATAATGATTTTCTCCTTTATTTTTACCATTGAAAGGCCTGGAATGCTAGCTATGGAATACCGACACTGTGCAACAGTGTTTGCATACATGTACAATTTGTCATGTGGCAATAGCATAAATGATTTTGTATATGCATCAGTAATCACTACCTAGTCCATTTCTCCCAAATGTGTGATTAGGGCACACCACACTAGATCTATAACATTCAGGATTCCTTGTTCAATCTTTATCATTGATCCCAGAAGTTTTTTTTCCCCCACTAACCAGCTTCAGGGAAGGTACTTTATTGTAATAAGTATGATACATCCTTTATTAAGCATTTCCTGTTTTTTTAGTAAAGATTTCTCCTGGGAGAACACCCAAAGAGCAGCAGCTTAGGAGTTTCACACAAATGCTGTTTGACCTCAGTTGTTGTAGTTTTAGCACTTGAATCACTTTCCCTCAATACAGAAGTTTGTCCATCATTGCAGAAGTGATAAGATGGGGTTAGACTATTCCGGGACTTTTAGACAAGCCAGCATTCGCTCCAAATCAACAAGACCTACTTCTAAAAAAAAAAAAAATGGTTCTTGATCTCAGATTCTATTTCTCATTTTTCTACATAATGCATATTTTTATACATGTTAAAAACAACTTAAGTTTATTTATCTGCATTTAAAATCTAAAGTGACCTTCCCTATTAACCTAAAGGTGAAAGACCAAGAGATGTTCATGTTTTGATGTAAAAGGGCAAATTCAAATGTGTAGTTTTTATACTTTAATGTAAAATAAACCTCCCTGTGCTCAAGCAGTCAAAGTGAATTCCATTCTTCCAGTCTAAGATGTTGGTTGAAACGGCAGACTTGACAGATTCGAGACCAGAATACAAGAAGCAGTTTCTCTAGTTGTGTTTCAAAAGCCAGTTAGAATACAAACCAGAAATCAGAGCCTTGAGAGGGAGAGTTCCACAGAGCCAGCTTCCCCACTCCACAATCTCCAAGAGAGGAAGAATCTCAGCCCCATGCATCCCAGTTACACCAAGAATCCTCAAAAATCAAAAGCAGACAGCACACCTTGTATGTACACATTATATGCATCACAATCTATTCATTTTATTAAAGGCTATTTTTTCCCCTATCGTTTTTACTGTTCATTATATCTCAGGAACCCACTCAAGCAAATCCTTTTCTCTACCTTCCAATTACACTCCCCTCGTCCCCCACCACCCTTTCCTGCCTTTATCGGCGCTCCTTGTTGGTCAGTTGTCTCCAGCTTGTTAGGGTGTGAGGCATCTTCACCTTCAAGGTTAGGTGATCTATCAGCCCTAGACATTCAACTGTGAATTAAGGCAAAGGGTGTTATAGTTATGCAGGTCAGCTTTAATTATACCTGACCAGGCTAAGGCCTGTATGCACTCTGCTTGTCCCGTTTGCGAGTTCTAAGGATACTTCATTGAACCATCATGTTGCTGAAATACAGGATTTGCTTCTTAAAGGGTGTTGCAGAAACTGCAGCCCAATTTGTCCAGATCAGTTATTACATCTCACTAAGTATATTAATGGATGGTAAGCACAAAATCGTGAACTTGGCGAAAGTAATATACAGTTGCCATTTTGTGGCAAAGCCCTGCTCAAGAGTTTCTGGGAATTGGGATGTGAAATGGCCCTTCCTGATCACTAGTACCTGTAAATGACTAATGTACAGGTTGTGCAGCACACATTTTTCCACTGCAAAAAAAAAAGTTCCAACACGATCTCCCCACAGAGTTAAGTAGATTTCAAGACTTGTCAACAAGAGCAAGACTAGGATTTCTAGTCGGTCAAAAGAGACGCATTCTCCCACCAGCTTGTTTACAGTGTAAGAGGGCTGCCTCACACCGCTGGATGTTTTCTTCACTCCTTCCAAGTCATAGACAATGACAGCAATGAGCATACTTCCACTGTAGTTTGAAACAGTCCTCAGCACCAATTCTTTCCAACTCAAAATATAAAAATAGCATTGCAGTTCCCCCTATAAAAGGGGCTTTAATACAAAAGGTGCTGGAGGGGAGTCCACACCTGAACCCTTGTTCTTTATCTAAACTGGAAGATTGGCCTTTGATGCAACTACTAAAGACAAGGAAAAACCCCCATATTTGAAGTCACTTTATTTAACGCTTGAAATAAGTTAACTCTATAAACATTTCAAATCTGACAACATTATCCTTCCCCAATACATTCATATCTCCTTACACTTCACAGCCTGAAGTGTAGTATAGTTGATGGGTAGCCCCAAGTGAAAAAGCATCATTAACATTAAACGGTACTTTTGAATCGATAAACAGTGCTCCCCTTCAAGCCCTGCACAGATTTCTGCAACTGGTTAGCCGCTCAGGCCAGGATCTTTGCTTTCTGCACCAGAGGACGTGGTGGAAATGTACCTCTGCCACTGGTCCTCGGTGAAGGGCAAGGCGAGAGAGGGGGCGTGGCCATACCCTAGAGTGGTCGACTCCTTCCAGGACCTGTGGAGATCAGTGCTGAGGTTGGCCTGGTTAGGGAGGCCACCCCAGGGCAAGTTCAAGCCCTCGTGAAAGGAACAGGGGGCCGACTTCAGGGCAGGGCTCCAGGTGGATTCGGCCACATCCAGCAGGCTGGACTCCAGGGGGGACTGCGGGCTGTCCTGGATGCCTCTGATCAGGGAGATCTCCCAAGCGGGCTGGGCGGCCGGTGGTAGCACAGAGAGGTCGGAGCCCGACAGCTCGGGGGAGCTCTGCAGCGTGGGCTTTTTGGGGTACTGTCCCTCGCAGGGAGTGGAAGACTTGCTGTTCAAGGGAGCGGAGGTGACCCCCGGCTGACGGGCCGCGAGGGAGACGTTCAGGAGCATGGGGGAAGGCGACAGGAGGGCCGGCGAGCGGTTTTGGGGAGCAAGCATCCCAGCATGCCCTTCCACATACTCGACTACGATCTCCGAGCGGGGAGCCAGGCCGGACAGAGCCGAGATGGACAGGCTGTGGTCCTGGATGAACGCCTTCTCCAGGTCTGGGAAGGACCAGCTCTCCTGGCTACAGAGCATGGACAGGTCCGAGGAGCCTGGAGAGGAAAAACAGGACGATCACTTCTGCCCCAGCGTAATTCAGCAGCCAGGGATCAAGCCGTTTCATCTCCAGGTTTGATCACATGTGCAGCGTTGTGGCAGCCCATCATGAGACAACTTCAGTACCAGTTTACGCCCATCAGCCAGTGTGCAACCAAATAAGTTTCAAGTTTGTCATTACACTCATATACAGTACATGGTATAACAAAATGCTATTTAGCTAGCTCTCAGACATAAGTAGTACAAAGAGGGAAAAAAAAAACAACAATTGTGTAGCAAAAGAAAGAGACAACAGGCAGTGTGCAAAAATCTGCATCAACAAAATAGAATAAAGGGATAAAAATGATGGAGTGAGCTTTTGACATGTATGGTAGAGGTAGATTTTCAATGTGTGTTTGGATTTTTGGTAAGAAAGAAAGGAAGAAGGCACTGTGAGGTTCAGATCATAGGCGAGAGTGAGAGAGGCTGGGAATTTAACAGTTTGATAGTGCGGGGGTAAAAACTGTCTCTGAGTCTGGTAGTCCGGGACCGAATGCTCCAGTACTGTTTTCCAGATAGTAGCAGATCATAAAGTCTGTAGCTGGGGTGTGTGGGGTCTTTGATGATGCTTAGAGCTTTCCTCAAGCACCGTCTGTCATAAATGTCCTGGATAGATGGGAGGGTAACCCCAGAGATGGACTAGGCAGTTTTCACCACCCGCTGTAGGGCTTTGCGGTCAGCCACTGTGATGCAGCCTGTCAGTGTGCTTTCTGTAGTGCATCTGTAAAAGTTAGTGAGGATCTGGGGACATATCTTATAACAGCACACATGGAAATGTAGCTTTTCAGAACCAAGCAATCCACAGTCAAACCCTTCATACACAAAGAAACACCTCCTCCTCCTCCACACAGGTTAAAGAGCGACTCATTTGCGAGGAGGACCTGATGCCACTGCTGACGAGTCCATCGCAGCCTCTGTCTGGCCCAAGCCAGTCAGGTGGGATATCTAGGCATGAGTAGAGGGCCCCTGATAAGTCACCTTGCTCCAAGGCCAGCAGCATGAAACCTCACTGTCCCGTCACCGATGCGGGCATTGTGTCTGCCAACAGTTTCAGCAGCAGTACAGGTGGCAGATCTGAAACCATCTCTCAGATGGACATGTCGGTTCTACTCTGGTGTGGTCACTTGAGGGCGACCAGATTTTGGATCATCTGTCCTGCCAGTCTGCTGAAACCTTCTCTGCAGTCGGGACACAGTGTAGAAGCTTACTCCATAATGTCTGGCAATGGTGGCACATGACATGCCTGCCTGCAGCATGCCAATGGCCCTCTCCCTTGCTTCTCGTGACATTCAAGGTGTAATGGAAGGCACAGAAAACAGACTAAGT